GGGAAGAGGAAAGACAAAGATAAAAAAAAAAAAGACGCTGCTTTTTTTTTGTGTGCGTGGGAACAGCATCTTTGTGCGCCCGGCGCAGATTTCAGTCGTGTTTCCGTGGGCCAACGTTTGTACGGGCCCTCGCAGTCACCTTCACCAATCTGCAATTAGTACTCTTCTGTGCAGGCGGCCATGTTTCCCCCCCAGACGCACAGGAAGCAGTCTGATGGGCGATAGCACAGTTGAGTCCTTCCGAGCAGGATTGAATCCCTTCACCTCCCTCGTCTCTCATGCTGTCGGGCAAAGGCCTCGCCGTCTAGACCGATGCTATCAAAAAAAGGAGGGGGGAAAAAAAGAGAAGAAAAACAAAAAAAAACCTAATTGGCTTATAATAAATTCTCATTTCCGCCTACAAAGCCTCGGCCGGGCTCCGCGTGTGCCAGCTGACGGACGCCCCAGTAATTTGATAGTGGCATTCAGCAGCCCCCCCGTCACCGCATTTCACAGGAGAGCATGCCTTTAAAATGTCACCCAAAACACACACACACACACACAGACACACACACACACACTGAATGCAGCATTTATCGTACAGCGTTTGTTTCACAGAAGCGACGGTTTTGTTTCACAGGTGATTCTTTTGTCTTTTCTCTCTTGTCTTTGTAGTACAAATCTATTTGCCGTCATCGCCTCGGAGGTGAGACAGCAGCTTGAGCCTAAAAAGAGCAACGGAGAAAAAAAACAAAAAACATTCAGCCGACTAGCGAACAAGCGGAGCTCAGGGAAAGACGGGATTCAAAGCCACTCAACGTGGGAGACGGACGGACGGTAAAGAGCTTTAAATGGCATGGTCTTGCTGAGGAAGACCTACCGGCAGCCACAACGAGAGCCGCGAGGACGACTTGATCGACGGATGATCGATGCCGACAATTCCGATAACGCATCGGTTGTTTTTGATGACAAAAGTAACACCGTGGACCCTTTTGTTAAATGGCTCATTAAAGAATCCCACAAAGTAGACGATTAATTAGGAGAATTGTTGTCTGATTAAATCAATAATGTCAGTAAATGTCAGTCAGCTGTATCCATTGACCCCGAACCCCAAAACAACACAACTATTGTCTCATGAATGTCACTCGCTTCAGGCTTAATTGTGGGGAATTTTAACTGCAACAATCGGCTTGATTTGCTCAGTTTTCGTGAATCAAGAAAGAAATCCTGCATGCCAAGATGTCCAAGTCCAAGATGAAGGAGGAAGTTGTCAGCTTGCCACAGAGTTTTCAGGATAAGGATCAATCCCGTCCTCTGAATTACTTCTTCTCAATGTTTATTTGAAAGGAAGAGGAAGTCCTCAGATCCTCTCGCTCAGCCAGCAGTCAGTCAAACCAGCCTTCAATCAGGCGCCTTGTGGTGCCAACATCTCCATTTTTGGCATGTGGCCTTACTGTACACAACACACACCCACGCACACACACCCACACACACAATACTGCATATAGCTCCACAGACCAGCTGACTGGCAGGAATGCAGCAGACATTTGTCTCGCCACGGGAGCGCGCAGACAGATTCAATCACCATCTTTAAACGCAACTGAAGCGACGTGCTCAACTTGCTCCAACCTGATAGGACATGATCGACGGGGCAGGGTGGGACTTCTTTAGAGCCACGGTGAGAGGAAAAGGGAAGATTGAAAGCTGAAGAGAGTGGACGGACAGCACACCAACATCCACTCTGCATACACACCCACGATGAACGTCCCAGGAGGCATAGCTCGGATTCTTGGGCTGGATTTGCATCACAGATCTGTTGGATGGGAGTGTATGCATATAGTGAATAAATAACACCCCCCCCCCCCCCCATTCATCCCCGCCTGACACTCATCCATCCACTCCAATGCGAGACCTACGCCACAACCAGCCAGCTGTGTGTGTTTGTTTCTCCTGCCTCAGAAGGAGCCCCCCCTCCCCCCGCAAGCCCCCTACCCAGAATCAGTTTGTGCCTTTTAAAATCAATCCTGCTACGCTTCTTTTATTCCAGTACGGCATCCCTTGCCAAAGCTTGATGATATCAATTAATACAGAAGATTCATGGCATCACCAAGTGCTTAACAGCCCAAAATGAAGACCCGGGGCAACAACGAGGCGATACAAAGTGCTTCACATTAAATCATTAAAATCATCACAACACAAAATGGCAAACAAAAAAAAAACATGACTGTGCATGACATTGCACCACAGAACGAACCAAAAAGACCAGCGGAGCTTAATAAAGTCCTCACTGAACAGCGACTCTGTGCAAAGTTCAACGGCGAGAATTCTCATCAGCAAAGTCAATTATTTGCTGATCAGTGTTGCAAAATCACGAACAACATGTCACACAGCAAATGTGACATGTCGCAGCAGCAGATCTGCCAGGGTACCAAATAAAAGTGCAAGCTATTGAGCATCGCATTACGGGCATTTTCGACCGGGGGACCGACCCCAGGGGCCCGGGGGACGCGTCGTGCTACATCTAAATGAATGCGCCGCTTACAGCGGTTCAATTAAAACTACGGCGCGTTTATGCTCATCGAGTGAACAATATGAAACTAACGGCTTTTCAGAGTCACGCTTTCATCACAGTTTCGATCTCTTCAGTGGATTTTGGAACATTTCGGAACTGCGGGGTTTGGAGCGATTTTTACGCAGAGCCTCGCGCGCGCCGCCGAATCCCACAGCTGAGGCTGCCGCAGGTGTGACTCTCGGTGCGCCGATTCCAAACAGCGTCAACGAGCTCGCATATGAAGTTGTGTCAAGTTTTTTGACAGCGTGATGTTGATCCAACAACAGGCGGCGTTTAATAGCATGCCTATTAATTATCATTACGCACACTGGTAGAGTGGATCAGCCGGTGGCGCGTGAACCCTCGCCGGACCCCTTCCCGCTTCACCGGGCTGACCTGACGGGGAGGACCCCGGTGCCGAGAGAGACGCACATCCAAGCACTCACCTGACTGTGCCGCACTCGATGGGATCACCAGCAAAGGGACGAGGAGGCAAGCGAGGAACTTCATCTTCGAAAAAGAAGGGGGCTGCTTGTCTTGATAACTCCCGTGACTCACATGTCCAAATCAAGATATCCGCATGTCTCTATTGCGCACAGAAATAAACAACCGCAAGCAGAAAGGAGGAGAAAAACAAACACGTCAGAGTCTTCGCTGACACGGTGTCCGTGTGCGTGGAGAGCTTTTACGCAGCGCGTTATTGGCGGTTTGTTTATCAGTTCCCAGGCCGGTGTTTAGGTCGTTGTACGCCGAGGATAATCACAGCCATTCACTCCCCACGCTGCAAGAGCGCCGGTGGGGCGGGGGGGGTGGCGGGTGGGGCGGGGGGGACTCGGCGCGGACTGTAGGGGGGTCCGAACACGCCTCCTCTCTGTGACTGACACCCCCTTCAGCCTATTAAAACGGCTATCCGAAAGATTAGGAGCGTCTTGTTCTCTCTTTTTTTTTGGGGGGGGGGGGGGGGGAAATCCGCCCACCTCACGTATCGCCTCCTCTGATTGGCTATTCGGCGTCTTCCCTGGTGTCGCTACACCTGTCCAGAGAAGACGCTTCTTTGGTTTCTACCTGTGGATGTTCTCGGCTCTGGGAGCTTATTGGCTTCCACGACACATCACATACAAAGTCTGAAAAGAAAGAACACCGCGGCATAATTTCCGTGTTGTCACAGACTGGGTTACAACTATCCCATACCGCATTCTCGGTGGATTATTGAAATCAGCCTCCCAGCCAAGTGGGCCAGCCGGTGCAAATGTCCACCAGCAGCAGGCCAATAAAACTTTTGATGAGCTGGTGGAAAAAAAGGGGCCGCGCCGAGCTGTGATGGCTGCGGCAGTAAACCATTTTCAGGGCCGCTCGTTTTACGAGCCGGCGTGTCCCATTCCACCTCCGCTGGCTTCCTTTGTAGACTGATGTCAAAGTGTGAAACCGTCCGCGGAGGGGGGGGGGGGGGGGATTTTTTTGTGAAGTGTGTGAGACAGAAACTGGTTCCCTTACCAAACACCCCCCCAAGTTTAGGAAAGGATCCTGCATAACAGCGGCAAAGAGAGGCTCCATTCAGGGTCCTCTGCTGCTCTCTAGAGGAACATGCAGAGAATTACTCCATTCCCAGGGCCCCCTGCAGTTTGCATGAATCTGCAAGCTGTTTTTGGGGACTTTTGGTCCAAAAACCACCTTGAATCCCATTCGTCTATCAACATTTAGAAAACTTTGATGTGTCAGAACGACCGGAGCAGCCACCAGCGTCGCTGACACACGAGCCGTGTGACGCATTTATTGGAGCTCAGTGGCACGCCGGCACTCACACTGGGGGGGCCGCACGACTCCGAGCGGCCCGGAGGAGACTCTGTTCCCGTACAAGAGGAAAAGAAAGAAAAACAAAATGTGCAGATAAAACGTTCAATTACTGACATTTGAGAGCTTGGAGACGGGAGTTCTGCCTCAGCGCTCCGTAATGTGTCCCCGTGTGAGTCCAAAGAGACATTTGATTGAGGGGGACGGGCGCGGGGGGCTGCATATCATACAAATTATAAATAACTGATGGGGGGGTGGGGACTTGAGTCGTAATTAAAAACATATGATGAGTCTAACGTTGTGTTATCTCACAGCGGGCCTCCGCAGTGGTAATGGTGCCAATTTAAGAGCGCGTGGCTTTCGACTCGTGGATTATGAATCGGAATAGTTGTGAATTGAAAGGCGTCCTCCTGTGGAATGGCACGCTCCGTTCTAGATTAAGGGCACAACAGAAACAAAACAATGCGGCAGCCCTTCAGGGGCTCAGTTGTTGCACTTTATAACGCGGCTCTTTTTCAATCACCCGCGCCTCTCATATCTGTCCGGGTGTCCGGCTGTGTCGCGTCCCCCTCGTGAGCGGCGGCACGCTGGATCAGATGACGCGCAGAAGCTTCTATGATTAGGTCCAAGCGCCGGAAGGGGGGGGGGGGAGCTGCCCGCCCACTGTGGCCGGCCAAAGGGAGGGGGGGGTAGCGTGCAGTTTGCCCCCTTGTCCCTGTCCCTCTGTTATCTTTCACGTTGGTGTGTGTGTTTCTGGGTGTGTGTGTGGGCCAGTGGCTGTGATACATGGAGGAAGAAGGAAAAGGCTGCTGTTGATTCCCCCCCCACCACCCCAGGGACTGAGCAGAATGCGTGAAAGCGCCCTGGAGGAGCTCGCCATGGCTGCGCAGCGCGCGTCGCTCCTCATGTTGTTGTTGGCAGGTGAGTGATTTGATCCGTGGGATTCTGCCGTTTCCTTACATGAATAAATCGCATGCATTTGGAATGGTGTGTTGCAATAAACACAAGTAGTACACATGTCAGAGATGACTGACCTCGTAGAGATCCTGTTTTGTCTGTTTGTTGTCTATGCATCCATTCGTTTATTTAGTTTAATCCGCAGCTTTGCACAGTTTGTGTCATCGTCTGAGGCAACGTCAGGGGGGGAAAGGGAGGAAAGTAGCGATTTCCAACTGTAGAAAAACATTCTTTCAAGTTGTGACTCAACTTTGTGGTAAAGCAAGACACAGAAAATGCTCCCTTTGACTGTCGTACTACTTATAATATCATCAGATGATGCATTGGGTGTCCATACCCCTCCTCAGTAGTATCACTCGAGCACGTGTCCGATTGACGCCAACATCAGGACTCAGCCGCTGGCTAAGCATCTGAGATGGACGGATCCTCGTCTCATTTATGAGCCTCATTTATTTCCATAGATATTGGGCCCAGGAACAGCCGGCAGAATTCATGATTCCTGTTAGACTGACGGGTGTTTCCTCTGCGTGTGTGCCCAAAATATGGAACGCATCACTTTAGATGGAAGTAAGTAGATCCTCCAGCTAGCAGCCTTTTAAATACTTGGCTGTCAGATAAAAAGATGGAAGACAGACTGGCAAAACACAACACAAATGCTTGGTTTTCCAAAAGTGTTTGAGGCAGATTATCTGGGAAAAGTTTGCTGCGCGAGTCAAGCCTGATTTTTCACAAAGTCCTTTTTTCTGTACGGCATCCCTTTCAAAATCCCCGTGTGTCAACACATTCAGTTTTCCCTTTCGAGTGTCCCCAGAGCCCGGGACAGGCAGCAGACAGCGAGCAAACACAACGGCCTTATCAGGCCGCCGCAGACCGCCATCCGCCATGTTGCTCCGTTGTGACGACGGACCCGTTGGGCTCAGCTCAGAGTCCCGTGGGACGAGCAGCGGCCCACCGGCAGCATCTCTCATTACGTTCAGTTTGACTGGTTTATTTTCTTCCTCCAGTCCTTCCGTCTGCATCCGGGTGCAACAGGGGCTTCTACGAGAGGATCAACGACATGTGCTTGGTGAAGTTCAAACTGGACATGGGAGGGCTGGACCGAGGCCTGTGGTGCAGCTGGCCGGACACCAGCGAGTGAGTCGACGCCACCGGGGTCGTGCAGAAAGAGAGGTGGCCCAAGACGAGAAAGCGTTTAGGGAATTGGATCCTGGTTCAATGGAAGAGATGGATTTGGTGGAAAGGGTTTTATGGTTTGAGGTTGCTCAGGAAGTAGAATCTTCTATCAATCGGTTGTTAATACCAGCATCTCATCATGGGTTGTCGCTCCTGGGCGATGGCCGTCTTCCAAGCGCAAACGATATAAATGCAGCACACGCCATCACACCGAATGTGAGCTCCCCTTCCTGCAGGACTCGGTTGTCTGGACTTAAGCCAAGCTCTATATGTTGCTGTGAACTCAGCTCATCCACGGCAGCTACTGCTGTTCTCCTCACGGCCACCAACCTGTGTCTCCACTCACCAGCACACCGCTTGTTACTATATATATATATACATAGACATTAGTGGTGGAGTGTGTGTAGTTGTAAATTACCATAAAAGACGTATATACACAGATGCATCCTGTGTGTAGGGCTGGGTCTAATACTGGTTTCAAATGACCTTTTTCACACACCTCGCCTCTGGTGACAATACAATTCATACGTTTCTGGCGGTATCATTATTAATATTGGTAATGTTTGTTTCTATTAGTTTGGAACTTTTGGGGAAATCATGTTTCATCAGGACCCCAAACTTTTTCGTTTTAATCAGAGCCAGTCAACGCCGCACATCCCAGAGCTATTTAAAACCATCCGGCCTTCCCTGACTGGTTTCTTATTTATAGACTAGAACAATTTCTCTGTGTGGCTCGTTCTCGTTCGAAGGCAGAGGGCCCCACAGGGTTTGGAAACACTGATCTGTGGCTCGGGCCACGTTCTTGATGATAGATGCAACTGTCATTTAGGGTGGTGGACGTGATATTTTTAAATTGAACCAATGTTGTTTCCTCTTTTGTTAAAAAATACTTTTCATTAAAGGGACTTTGTTTTCTTCAGGCTACACAGTAAAAGTTGCCATTTGGAATAGTGCAATACTCTGCTGGGGGGAGAGTGTGGGGGGGGGGGGGCTACCCCCTCGGTATGCGTCTCCATTTGCCCCGGCCCTCTACCACCTCGCAGTTATATTAAGCAGCGTCGAGGCCGAGCGGTAATTCTAGACTCTCCTTAAGCCTTTTTCCTAACAACACGAGTCCCTTCTCTGGTTCCCTTCCGGAAGGACGTTTCAAAGACAAATCCAGAGACCTGAAAAGTGTACTACTTAAGTTCTGTAAATCAGAGTGGCCGCTTTATCATCGACCATCTGGAAAATATGGCAAAACTCTCACTATTACCACTAGAATGCATGCTACATAAATCAGTACTCATTTTGTAAGGAGCGGTTCTCCGGTTCTCCTTGGTTCAACCTTTTGGGGGGATTTGATTGTCGTTTGCGGCCTTTTGCAGGATCTATGAGGGGCTGACAAACTGCACTTACCAGGTGGCCTCGAGGATGGACTGCTTCTGGCCCAATCAGATGGTCGACCGCTTCTTCATGGAGATTCACCGCGACTTCTTCCGCGACTGCGCTCTGACTGGCCGGCTCCTGCACGAGCCGCCGACCAGCGTCCTCGCCCCGTTCATCGCCGTGCCGGTGCTGGTCACCCTGCTCATGACCGCCCTGGTGGTGTGGAGGAGTAAACGCACTCAGGGGGTTTTGTAGGGACTCGAGGCTTGACAATATGTGTGGATCTTCTGAGGGAGGCAATGATGGACTATGTGGTAAAAGCTGTTTTTTGCATCCTCTGACGTTTGAGGCCCTTATATCCATAGATAATTAAATAATTTCCGTGTTAGTATAAATATCTTTAATAACTGCAGACTTACATACGACTGTGTGTTGTAGATGCATTCTTTGGCCAGAGAGTGTCTGAGTTTGTGAAAAGTAATAAAATGTGTTTGGGATTCAGGGGAATTGTAGGCCACCAATGTTGATTGCATCTGTTGTCATGGCCCCGAACAATCTATGGGCATATTAATAACTGGAGAGAGGAGGACACTCAGGAAGACACCAACGACTTGGATGATTGCTAAACTTTTGCATAGAGAGAAAAGGAGCAGGAAACAGAGTAAGAGAAAGAAAGAGAAAAGGTTTGGACCAAGAGGTTAAACATGTAGGTGACTTTTAAAAACGAATGCATCTACTTCCTCGATCACTTTGTGACGGGGCTTCAGCTACTGGCAGCTCAGTAAAATATTTTGTTGATTTAAATGTAGGTTCATGACACAGTTATAAATATTCAACGTAAAGGTGCCCTAACCTGGGCATGCGCAATTTAACGCTGTTTCCGGTATTTTTTTCTCTTGATAGCTTTGAAAACGCAAGTGACATAATTCAGACATGTCAACAATCTACGTGTAAAATCTCATATAAACATAAACATTTACATGTCTAACTACAGCAGGAAATTTACTTTGATGGAGAAGGTAGTACGAGCGACGGTTGGGCAATTTGGGGGGGTGACGAAAGAGCTTTTATTGGCTATGTGTTGAACCACGGTATCTTATTGTGAAAGGTCAGAATTGGGTTCCTGAATATATAGACAGCATTGATGGAGAGTTTAAGAGACCCTTTAATCAATGTTTAATCTCCACAAAAAACAATGTTTACATGAATCGATACAAAGAAATAACCTCATTACCTTACTCGATGACTGGCACTGATTGCAGTCAGCCTGGGTTGCTTTTGAATGAAATTAAATGGGTCAGTTAGTAAGCAACGATCGCTAATTAGCATTAGCATTAGCAGTAGTTTTCCGTTAGCTCCTGCGGTCGACCGCGCATGCGTGATGAGACGCAGGCGATCTACTGGCATTGCTTTAGCGATCAACAACCAACAATTAAATGACGAAATATCATAACTCACATGACAAGAACTGGACAACATAAGTTAGCTAGCCAAAACATTCATAGCTCAAGGCTAATTTTGTCTAAACAGAAAGCGTTTTTGACAAAAGATGGTGGAAAAACGTCCCTGACCTTAGCAGTCTGCCATGAAAAGTCTTAGCTGGCGGCGGAAGAACACCAATGAGAGACGGACTTCAACCCAGGCGGATGTTAGCCACTTCGAAGCCTCTAGAAGCTTTTGTTCTTTAGCAGAAGGGTCAAAGGTTACGCCTCAGCCTATCGTTTGCCAGGACAACCCTTTCCCACGAAGCTGCTCTGTTGATCCTGGTTGGCTAACAGTGATGTCATCTCGTGCCAACTGCTCAATTCGATAGGCTCTTAACCGTTCCAATGAGGTGTCAATCACGCTGCGGTCAGTCCTTTACATACAAAGACTTCCTTGATTTTTTTGTCTGGGTTAATTCAAAACAAGAAAGAAAACCTACACCTATGTAAGAATGAGATTAACCAAGCAACAGATATACTGATATTTGGAGTGTTCCCTTTATTATGAAAGCGGATCATTTAAATAGCCGTTTTTATCATGAGTATACATAAAAAGATACTGATTCTAAAATGCATTGCTCGAGAATTTAACTTTTATTTTTTTAAGTGCTGTATAAACCAAGAGCAGAAGAAACAGACACCTTCTTTTCCAGGTTTGATTGTGTCACCTTTGATGTCATTTGGGAAACCTGCAGCAATGTTTGGTCAGGTCGGTGAGGCATTTCAGATTCGGCCATCAGATGGAGACGGGAGGGAGTCATGTGACGCCTTGGACCAGAAAGGAATTCACGAGGGAGGCCTTTATTTCACTTTGTAACAGTATTGCTTATTACTTCTGTTAGTTATTCAATTCTTTATCATTTTTTAAACTCAAGCCAGTTGACTCTTTATAACTTCTCGTCTCAGAAGGGGCGAGGGTAACAGTAGTGATCCTTGATCAGAAGTTCAGAACTCCACATCTCCCAAAAGACAGAGCAGGTCAACTCTGTCCAGAGACAGAGAGCAGCTAACTGTGTGTGATTGAATGACATCCCGTGATAATTAAATACAATGTCATACTTCCTTATCCATGTAAAAGTTGTGGCTCAGCACTTCCCCTCCACATATTTTGCTTGCTGGGCTGTTCTGCCGGTGGGGAATTAATGGTGGTTAAACTATCAAAGCAGTTAAAGCCTTCAGCGGTTACGCTTTGTCAAGCAATGTTTGGCTTCTCTGATTAATGCTTGAGACTGTGACGGTATTCAAAGAAGAATCAAAGCTGCGATAAAGGTATTTAGGCAGCGACTAAGGGGTCAAGGTTCAATGATAGGCAGGTGGAGGTGAGAACTCACTTGTTCCTTGTGTCATTAGAAAGGCGTTCAGCCTCAGCTGCATCCTTTAGTAGCAGTTTCTGGTAGCTGGGGAAGGTCTCCATCACACCGAAGTATCCGTTCAGCGGCAAGAGCCTTTTCACTTTCAGACCCTCGTTCCCTGAGACAAAATCCAGACTAAGCAGCATTCAAGCATGAGTAGATCTTCATTAGAAGCAGAGCAGCATAGAACTAATAAGGAGAACAAAAATAATAATTTGAATAACTGGCTTCACTCAAACGTTCTTCTTAGTTCCGAAATGGTTTGGTTTGTCTGATTAGCAAATATTGAACTTTGAATATATTATTTCTCAAATGCATTCTATTGTCTACTGAAAACTAACAATAACAATAAAGTCATCTATATTTTAGAAATTTAAAATGTTAGATTGTCTGGCTCACATGAGGATATTCATTCAAACAGCACGCTATGGGTGTGGGTAGCCATCGAAAAATGAAACGTTTTTTCCAATTATCACAAAAGAGAATGCAATGATTTTCCAAATCTAGAAACGCCATCATGCACTTTGCTTGACAGAGCAGCAGGTGGCAGTAAACGCACACGTATGACGCTCTGCGCCCCGCTGGGTGCCTCAATGCTGTGATGTCACGTTAGTTGTCGTTTCCTAACCATCAGTGCAAGAAAATGTGATCAAGGCTCCATTTGCTATAACAATGGATTTTATCCGTGTGATCGTTTTAGTGAATAACATCACCAATGTGAGGGTGTCAAAGTTTAACGGGAAGGGAGCAAAGAACACCTCACACTGATGCCACAATGACTCAGCGTCCCACGCCGCAGGAAGTCCCGCCCCCTGTGGCACCAGAGCTTCACGGATCATCCTGTGGAGCGGCCGGCTGCACCAGGCCTCTATTTCTTCTATCTCTCTCTTTTGAACCACATACTTCAGATTTGTGGAATTAGCAGTTAAATCATGTTTGAATACACCAAATCTCCTGAATATTCATTGGAGGCTGAACAACCAGGTGATGTTAATGCTGTTAATACTTTCTGGAAGGAAGTGGTTTGTTCTAAATCAGGTCATGATATTCTTGATAGTGTTTAAAGCAAACTTCAATTAGACACTTATCAACACTTATGACTGTGGGACAGGACTCTTTTTAATAAATCAAAATGTTTATGAACACAGCACATGCAGTTTTTTTTTATTTTATCAGACATCCAACTTTTTATTTTGAGCAATTACCAACATTTTGCCACTTTTGATGTCACTTGGGAAACCTGCAGCAGTGCTTTTTAACCCGGGGCTCAGGACCTGGGGTCCAGGAGTCAGAGTGGTTTGCGAGCCAGCCAGTAGAAATAATTCACAACCACGGTGACTTCTGTGTCAGGAGAGGACACCTTCATGGCGCACATCAACCTGTTGGAGGACGAGAAGAGACAATGCGATTTAAAAGGATCATTTAAATAGAACCTTTAAAGGTTCTCCTGTCCACAGACAGAGAGCAGCAAACGGCGTGTAATTAAATACAGTGTCACTCTTATCCGTGTAAAAGTTGTGGCTCAGCACTTCCCCTCCACATGTTTTGCTGGCTGGGCTGTTCTGCCGGTGGGGAATTAATGGTGGTTATACTATCAAAGCAGTTAAAGCCTTCAGCGGTTGGTCGAGCAATGTTTGGCTCCTCTGATTAATGCTCGAGACTGTGACGGTATTCAAAGGAGAATTAAAGCCGCTTTGGAGTGCGATAAAGGAATTTAGGCGGAGATTAAGAGGTCAGGGATCAGTGGTGGGCAGGTGGAGGTGAGAACTCACCGTCAGCAGTTAAATATTAGACTCGCTTAGAGGTTCATATCTCACTTGTTCCTTGTGTCACTAGAAAGGCGTTCAGCCTCAGCCGGATCCTTTTGTAGCAGTTTCTGGTAGCTGGAGAAGGTCTCCATCATACCGAAGTATCCGTTCAGCGGCAAGAGCCTTTTCACTTTCAGACCCTCGTTCCTGGAGGCAAAAGATGCAACGATTGGGGGAAAATCTGGTCCGACTACTTTAAGAAACAAGTGTAAGGCAGTGAGGTGGAACACTCACCACTCTTTGTCTGCGTATGAGCAGGAGTCAAACATGTCAGAGTAGATCGTCACAGAGTTGGTTCCTATGTAGGGATCTCTGAAGGGATGCAGGGCAGCGTAGAACTAATCAAGAAAAGAAAATTGACCTCATTACCAACTGTGCTTGGAAAGGCCTATGGAAATAGTGCGGGGGTTGTGCCTTGACAATGGTTCCCTTTTCAATTTTTACAACATTTCACTGTGGAGCCGGCGGATTACATCTCAGCCGTAAGTCATCTAAGGTGGTTTTCCAAGTTGTTGGATTTGCGATAAACCTCGTCACAGATGCCGTTGAGTGTCGCGCGGGAGACGTCCCCGTACTCCAGCTCCATCGCCATGGTGTAGCTCAGCAGAGCCAGGCAGCCTCCAGGCCTCAGCACCCGGTCGGCCTCCAGGAGGAACTTCTTGTGGTCGAACCAGTGAGCCGCCGTCATGGCCGTCAAAAGGTCCACCTCGCCGGAAGCAAACGGCAGCTTCTCCGCCGGACTCTCCCTGGGTCAGAAGCAGAGAGAATGGTGGAGGTCAAACGGGGACATTTGCTATGTTGCAGTCTCCAAAAACTTTGAGAATGATGAGACTGCTTGACTTGTACAGAAAACGTGGGAAACGTCCATCACTGTCGTCTTAAAGAGGTTGGAGTCGTTTTGCTGTTGGTGACCATTGTGATGCCGTCAGGAGATGTTTGAAAAGTGCCCCGATCAATGGACCCTTTTGAACCACCTTTGCACCTAAATAAATAACCCTTTTTTCCTCCCTTTCACCAAAACCCTCTCCCCTTCAGTCCAACTCACCTGTACGATACATTTGGAGGGTTTTTGTTATTGGTCAGAGCCATCTCCAGCTGAGCGGGGCTGACGTCCGTTCCGACGACCTTGGTGAAGTACGGAGCCAACAGGACCGTCCCTTGCCCCGAACCACAGCCCACATCCACAGCCAGACCGACCTGGTTTGGTGTCTGAACGTATTGGAGTAAAGGTTTATGTTTTTAAACTGGTTTGTTTGCTTTTGGATCCAAAGTTGCTTCAGCAGCTCTGCAGAGAACATTCATCTGAGGTATTTCAACCTGCAACATGACCCTCTTTTCCGAGCGTGAATCCTATTTAGAGGTCTTATATGGTACATCAAACAGCACAACGCAGCCTGAAAACCTCAACAAACACACCTGTTTCTCCACGTAGCTCATGATCCTGTCGATCAGTTCTTCCGGGGCCACTCGGTACTGCAGGTAAGCGGCTGCATGATCTCTACCCTCAAAGAGGCGTACGGCCATGTTTCTTTGCACAGAGCTTGGTCGACTGATTTGATCACTGTGTGCTGTGCTTCTTCAACCGCAGAGTTACTCATTAACTCCCGGGATCAAAAGTGTCCTGCCGTCATGAGCTGCAGCCCATAAACATGCCTACACACATTTAAAAGCACAGCTCATACTGTATTAATTTCAAATAACATTGTGTAGGATTTAGGATGATTCGTTTGCAGCAATTGTATATGATATATATATATATATATATATATATATATATATATATATATATATATATATATATATACTACTACCCACACTGCTCCTTTAAATCTAGAATATTGTTTTTCTAAAGCCCCAAATGAAGTTACGGCCATGAGAGAGTTTTTAACAGTCCAGAGCAGAGAGCTGTGAAACTCCCGATCCAGATGTCTGCACATGCACTTGGTTTCAAGCGGCAGCAGATGGCAGTAAATGCACATCTATGACAGAAGGAAAGTGTGGGAACGCTTGCGACCAACATTTTAGCTCTAATTCCTCATCCTCCTGATCACCGCCATTATTTAATCTGCTTTATATTGTTTCTTCGGCGTACTGATGAATCAGACATGGTCTAAATCATCATATTAGTGTCTAGAGAAAAGAGACACGTTGCCAAGAATCTCACAAGATATAATCTGTATAAAAAAGGCAATGCTCATGATGAAGTCTGTCTGTTTCTATAACCCCGTTGACCTACCACCACCACTGGTTCCAAGTGTATTTAGAAATGATTTAAAAGGGTATGAGTGCGCTCAGGGCGGCTGGTCTTGGTCCGGTCCTGTGTGTTCTTCCCAATCAACAACATTGATCTTTCCCGTTGCCCTGATCAATATCCATTGTCATATATGATTTGCAATAGAGCTTGTGTTGACAAAAAGGGGATCGGAAGGAGGGTGCAGGGGGCCCAGGAGCCCCCGACCCTTAACCCTGCCGCGTTGCGCCGCGCGCATCCCTGCCTTGTGTCCTCCGATCAATCAGCTTCCATCAAACCTGTCAGCCGCGACCTCAGCCGCCGCTGCTGTGTGAAGCCGAGGGCGCGATAAACACATTGTCATGCACGCACACGATGTGACTACCCGGACGTGGCCGGTTTATCGCCCAGTCTTTACCGGCGGGTCTTATTGCGGTGTCCTCACGCGTTTCCGCAGACGCCATTAAAAACACAAAGTCAATGGACTCAGACACGCGGCCTCGTGTGTTACTTTTAATATCTGCAGGCATTCCAGACACAGTAAAAAAGAGCTGTGGGGAGCGCTTCCCTCAACCGAGACCAGCAGCGTTGCTAATGCCGCGTGGGGAATTCTCCTGAAAGGCAATCACACAGGTAATCCACACTGGGAGAGGAAAATATGAGAAATATTGCCTTTTAAACCTGGTTGGGTGCATGTGGAAATCTTAAATTTGGGGTTGGTTGAAGAAGATTTTGTATAAAGCCGAGTCTGGAATTGTGGGAAAGGGGATAACACTTGCCAGAACGGGCTATTTCGTGCATCTTAAAGATGCATTTCGGGCCTAAAGTAGACACACACGAGTGAATACCTGCGCATGGTTTTCTTCTCTACTCTGTCAGTGTGAGTGCAGGCGCATGCTGGGAAGGATAGATGGGTATAGAGAGTAAAATCCCACTTCCCTGCGGAAATCTCAGCAGGTAAAAGCAGATTGCAGCTGTTGGATGAGATCCATGAATTTGGAAAATAGTGTTGTCGTCACGTTGAGAGCTGTGATTGTTTTGGTGGGGGAGGGAGGGAGAGGGAGACATTTGTCATGGACTCACCTTCATTTTAACAAGATAGCGTAAGAAGCCATTACTTTTTTTTTTAAAAGGGGAAAAAACACTCTAAACTTATCAAAAGAATCTTGTTTTCCTCACCGTTAAAAAAATCACCTCGTCATTTTTTGAGAAGGAGAGGGAGTGAGAGAGGCATTGCATTGTGGCAAACGGCGTTTGCAATCTCTGGTAGGGTGTGAATATCTTAAATCTTCACCCATTAAAACTTCACCCGTCTTCTCTAGTTGCATTGAACCAATAATGGAGGAGATCTGAGCCAGTCGGCTTCGTTCTTATAGCCGAGATGCTCTGTCGGAGATACACTCGGAGGGGCTAATCCCACTCTCTGAGGAAAGAGGTAGGTATTGGCTTTGATGATAGAAATGGATTAAACAGATTACATTAAAGGCCAGTCTAATTGAACCAATCTATCCTGATTCTGCCGCTGTTAGATAAATGATGAGAGGGCCAGATAGTGTATATGGGTCGAGTGTCCGTGACTTTGGGTGTCTACAGGCTGGCGTGAAACATACACCAAAGCCTGCTTCTAACTTCAATATCAAAGAATGAGTGAACTGAATAAAAATACAATTCTACTGCATCTGTATTTGGCCCATATTTCCGTTGTAAGACCTGCCTTTTTTTGCTGGATTCAGGAGCTTTCAAACGAAGGCATTAAACTCTTCTTGGACAAACCAGGAAATATGCACTTTAACTTGCTTCACCTCAAGATTCACCTCCAAACCTCAAAAACACACCCCATCAATGTCTGTAAAGCAAACTGTCATGTCAAAGCTTCAGTGAAGAAATTATTTCAAGGCCGCTGCTGCAAATTGTATTGTTTGCAGAAGGAGTAGAGGTTGGGTCCAGCAATCTTGCAGTTGGTGTTCATGATTCAAGTGGATTTTAGAAAGCGAATGTAAATGGTTGGTTAAGGGGAAAATAAATGTATAGTTAATGTTTCGAAACATGTAAGCAATAGCACCCTTAAAATGTTGCTATTGCTCAAATTGCAATTTCATTAGTTCAAGTGAAGAGTAATTGTTTTTACATTTAATGCGGTCTTGAGTGATTAAAATCCAGTGGGATCCAATTCATTCAGAAACATTAAATAAGTTAAATGAATAGTTGGCTACTGCTCTCTCAAGAGTGATTTGGTGATTACCTCCGTGTGTGTGTGTGTGTGTGTGTGTGTCTGTGTGTGTGTGTGTACCCGTCCTGCAGGCACGGCCGTTATTGACGGTGTCCAGTTGAAGTGAGCCTGATGGGGTGACCTTTCCTTGCAACCTTGTTATCAACGGGAACTCGTTAAACCGGACTGTTTAATTAGCAGCGCAATGACAATCAGGGAGGAGTCGAGGACCTCTGTGCTCGTAGACACGGATCAATGGTCTTCAGGGAGCCTTTTGCACCCGGCAGCAAGGGGAGCCTTTGCACATATTTGCATACATACACATATAATTACACGCAATTTACCTCTTTAAAGTTGGTCGAAACATTTGGGATTTGGCTGATTTTTCTTGTGGAAATTTAGGCGATGGGTTGATAATCTAATGTGGAAGCTCAGAAATTGGTTGTTTTTTTAACTACAACTCTTGTAGAAATTGGGGTTTTGAAACATGGCTGAGGGTTCCAGTTCATGGTATGAAGGTATAAAGTCAGGCCAGTGAGTCGTTTTCCGTCCCCATTTAAACTAAAAGACCCTAACAGTCCAAACAACCCCCATGCGATCAAATTATCTTCCCACCAATCACATGAAACACACTCATTAAAAGTTATAAGACAGTCCAACCCTGGTTGACGTGCACATATGCTTCCGCACATGAGCCTGTGCACCAGCTCTCGAAAGTGTGTGTGTGTGCGCAAAGCGAGAGTCGACAGCCGCTGCAGTTGGTGAGATCCAAGTGAAAGTGAGAAGCTGAACGCTCGGGTCTGTTGATCTATTTTTACCGCAGAGCAGGGGGCAGAGAGGGAGCGCGAGAGAGAGAGAGGGGGAGCGAGGGAGCGAGGTTCCTGCATAATGCATGGCCCTGTAGAGCGGCAGTAGCTTTGACGCGGCGCTCTCTTGCTGTGGGCGCCCAGGTGCTGTCGGTCCAGGCAGTCGGCGGGTAGGAGAGCCAGGTGCTCCCACGCGGTGCTCAGGCCGATCCTCCTCAGAGCACGAGCCCACCGGCCCCCGTCCAGCTGCTCGCCGTCTCCCCCCGAACACGAGATATCTCGCCTGCAGCCAGGTCTTTCTCTGAAGCGTATGGGTGCGATCGAGCCCCAGGTGGAGTGGGGAACCAGGATCTGTGGCAACAACGAGCGGCAACTCGTGAATTGAGTTCACTGCGGTTTGAAACCAGATTTAGCTCAGAGGAACACGGCGTGTCACAGCGTGACATCTAGTCCTTCTCGATTATTGAGGTCTATGTACTGTTTGTGTCCAATATTCCCCTTAATTAAATTGTTTTATTCTCTTTTCTTGTTGTTGAATTTGGAAAATAACTTTTAATGGAACCCTCTCACACCACTAAATGATTGGATTTGCTTTGGGAACAGGCTTTGGGAACAAGCCATGTGAGGCTTCCCGGAGGGGGTCGGGTTGCTGCTGGGCATCACAAGGAGGGAGACTAATGAAAGCTTGATGAGGATGCTTCTCGGAATCCACCAGCATGATTAGGCTTTAATTACCGCGGGCCACCTCGACATATTCCCTATAATTGGAAATACCTCAGCACAAAAAAAAAAAAAAAAAAAAAAAACATGGTTCCAAACCAGCCGTGGGCCAATTCTCATTCTCATTCTCAACTGGGGGCGTCTCAGATTAAAGCCCGTCGTCACGCGGATTACTTGCCTAATTGTTCTCCATAATCTTGGTAAGGGACTCGACGACAGAGTTCGCCGACAGTCTAAGCGAGGTTTAGATATTGTGACGGAGGCTTTCAACTTGTAGCTCTACTTCCCGGGATGCTGGCATCGGCACGTTGCTAGATGTGACAGTGGCATCCCAACATGGCTGCCAAACGCCTACGAGGCACCCACCGGCTTTGGCAGCTCCTCTGGTTAAATCCAAGGGAAACAAATGATGGGCCTCGTGTTTCATTGGTTAAGTGGATCGTGTCCTCGCCTCACGAATCGTCCTTTCTTTCATTCACACGGTCGCTCCGATTCGGGGACCTCGTTTGTATCCTCCTTCAATGGCGCCAGCGAATCATTGTGCGAAGGAGAAAGACAACATTCCTGAGATGCGCGCAGGTGTTGCGGCGGTGAATAGCCGAGCGGAGACAGCGGAGGATTCAAGGGCGAGCTGATAAGCCTGGATACCGAACAATGAGGCATTATGTTTGTAAAAGTCGGGGTGGGGTTTGGGGTCCTGAGGTCTTTATTTCTGTTCCAATTAAATGTTGAGTTCTATTTATGTTTCAGAAAGTCCGCTGTCGCTTTAAAATGTAAGGCGGGAAAAAAGTCTACAATTTAGCTTCCTACAAAAAAACAGAGAACCCTCGGGCGTTGAGTATGTAATATTCACACGTGTCAATATTATGCACACACAATGAGGTAAAACATTTCTGAATGCGTTACATGCATGTGTAGAACAGCATAACAAGATAATATCACGGGGAGTTTTAATCCTATTGGCTCAGCTGATTTACATCGACCCCATCGTTTGCTATCTTTTGGTGCAGATTAATGGAAACAACAGAGGGGGACGGGGTGACTGAGCACATGTAACCAAGCATTCAACAGCCGTGTTTATCAACTCAGTTTTTCTATTATTCAGATTATTCTGCTTGGAATCCCCGGTGTAATTACCCGGATAACAAATCCGACGCTTTCCACTGTGTGTCTGTGCTTTGATCACATTCACCAGCCGAAGAAGAGGAGCAAAATGAAAAGAAGTGGGGTTTTTTCCTCATTCTAACTGTGTGGTCGACCTCGGTTAAGGGAAATGTCATACGTGACATTATCGTCACGGACTGCATATAAGAAGCGAAGGTGGTCACTGTGATGTCACCAATTGGCTGAAGCCTCCACTTTGGCATTTAGGCTGGTGCCAATCTCGTTTTTCTTTTGCAACCAGACGTGACAGGAGAGGGTGGGGGCAAGTAAAACCAAACGTTCACCGTAATGAAAGGGTTAAGGTTGAAGGAAGAAAAAAACTCTCCCGGACCGTACAACACTGTGGAAACGACCTGTCAATCTCCAGGTAGATGACTCTGGTCTGCAAAAAAAAGAAAAAACGGAAAAGAGATTGCCCTTTAGACATACATGCACCGCGCTGTATTTGTGAATGCGGGTGTTAACCTTTGTGTGTCAATGTGAATGAGGTCCCTTCTCTGCTGAAACCCATCAGCGGCGTCTAGTTCTGCTGTGAACTCACACACGGCCTCATCTCCATCACATGGGGTGGAAATGACGATCGGAAAGCGCTCACGGGAGGTGCGACCTTTACTGAAAAATGCCTCCATCGGTTCTAATTTCATAATGTGTCTCTTGGATTGACGTAGTAGGTGTAGTTAGGTAGCTAATGTGGGGCTGTCTGTAATTACAGATAAAAGAACATTAAGTTCGACAGATACGTGTAAGCTTCTTGATGAGGGTGCCCATTTCAATTAGGGAGCGTTCAATGAAACAAAAAACCTTATGGGAGTTGCTCACTGCCAGACCCAAGGAGAATTAATACGCTGCATAGGGCCATTTACCGGGGAGTAATTACTCCCTAATTAGCCATTAGTTATCCGATTACCCTTTTATCAGCTAGTCATGGTCAAAAGGCAGGAATAGCGGATAAGTCATCACCTTGGTTGGTAACGGATGTAATTAAAATGCTGCAGAACCCTCAGAGGGAGACGTCGAGTCAGTGCATTCAAGCAAAGTGAAGCCATTCTGGCCTATTTCCTTCCTTTGATCGCGAGGAGCAATAAATCAGAGCCTTTTCCTTAAACGTATCCAGGGGTGCGATGCTACAAATAGCAGAAAAAAAGCAGGTGGTAAATTAATTATCCTGCCCACACTTGACTGAAAACGCAGTGGACCTAAACCACACAGTCTTCTAGGGGGGGGGGTCTGGCCAGTGGGAATTATTGCGGAGGGGTATGAGGATGTGCTCCGGCCGCTCATTGTATGCAGACTGAATGGCTGCGTGATTGAGGCCGGATAAGAAGAACCCTGCGAGCGGAGCAACGATTAGGTGCATATTGTTGCTGGATGAAGCCGCCATTAACAGACCAGCCAAGAACCATGAATACTCCATGTGCCGAACTGCTTCTACCATTTATTACACATAATTACATTCTTAAATAAAAACGATTCACCGAACAGTTCCTTGCATAGAGATATTACAATACCAATTTAAAAAAGGAATTATGAAACAAACCGGTAACAAAAATAAATCTTTCTCATTTTTCCATAATAAAGAACATTATCGCACCCATACATCATAATATACAAATGATAAATTTGAAACACTTTGTACAGCGAAAGAAAAGGAGAAAGACAACGAAGGAAAAAGGGTGGAGGCGGGCTAGGAAGGTGGGTGTGGGGAGGGCAAAGAGGGGATGGGGGGGAGGGTGGGGAAGGGGGGGGGCCGGAGTTGAAAGGGTTCGTATCTGAGAAAGTGGAAGAATGGGGGAGCGACGACGGAATGCTGGTAGAAAAGGGGGTTCGTTTGATTTGAAATTCAGACCCGGGAAACAGATTTACAAATATTAATGGGGGGGCCCTTCCCCCCCCCCCCCCCCGTCCCCCGCCCCCCCCCTACAACTGCAGTCTAGATCCCTGACTCTCGCAGGGTGGCATGAAAAGCGGTAAAATACACGTAGGAAGGACAGACGGAGAGATTATGAGTACTTCCGGTGCTTGTGTGCGTTTTCCCGGTGATTCTGTGTGTTGGGGAATTTTCCTGTGTGTAGCAGAGGTGTGTACGTTTTGTGCTAAAAAACAGTTACTATACAGATTTTGTGTTCAGCTTCTCTTCCCCCGGGGGGGGGGGGGGGGGGTGCGTGAAGTGGTGCGTACGAGCAGACAGAAAACATCAGATATGCAAGTGATCTTTCCAAGAAATGTGCCGAGTGCAAATACAAACAGACGAAGAACACACAGGCACGGCAGAATTGACAATCGTTCAATAAAGGTGACCGAACCGCATCCCCCGGGACAAAATAGTCCACATTTTGAAATTGTCCCGTTCACTTGAGTGTTCTCCTCGGCTCCTGAAAGTCTCAATGAACACGGAGAACGCACGTTCCATCATTCGTTGTGATTGGTACAGGTAACAAACAAAACAAAAAAAACATTCCCACACATTTGCAACCATTCATTTAAACAGGGGGAGGGGGACACAACACACAAGTAGAGCTGCCATTGAACCCACAAACTGCTTCTCCTTCAGAGAGCCGGGCTGAGCGGGAGAACCCGCTCAGACATTCCCGCCCGGACTCTTTTACAAAAGTCTCTTGTCTCTTTCAACAATTTCTTTTTTTACCGCCCCCTCGACCAACGCAGCGGACGGCGGCGCCGCTGTGTGTTGTTGTAGCTGCGATCCAGATGAACGGTGAGTTTTTTTTTTTTTTTTTGGTGTCTCTGCAAGTGGAAGGGCCTGTACCCCTCGATGTTCAGGCCGGGCTTCTTTGCACCGTTAGACGAAGAGAAGGAGTTCAATATTGAGTTTCCACGCTGACAGATCGAGTCCAGGTGTGATCGGGCTGGAATGCATTCGTACCCAAAATTGAAATGCGCCTCTGGTATTCAGAGGGAAATCAAATCACTGCTTTCCCCACCGAAAGAGCCGTGTGCCTCACCAGAGTCTCGTCAAACAAAAGAATAAACACCTCCACTTTGACGCGTCTCTGTGCCGCTGGACGAGAGCCAGGGGCCGCCGAGGACGAATGTTGATTCCACTTTTTCTGGGAGTGTGTGTCCGTCTGTGTGTGTGTGTGTGTGTGTGTCCGTCTGTGTGTGTGTGTGTGCGTGCGCACGTCTCTCGTGTGGGTTTCACTCCTCTGCAGTTTCATGAGCTGATGGGGCAGTTATCATTTGCTGAATGAGCAGGCTGTTCCTCCGCATACCCTCTTCAGCCACCCACTGGAAACGCATACCCGATGACCTCCCCGTCGGGCCGGCGCAACCAGCGAAACGCCACAAAAGCTGCCGGCCGCGACGAGCTGCTTGTTCAGAGTCAAGCTATTCGGGTCCTAATGGGAAAAAGATCTGCCATATCGAGGAAAATTGTGTCCGGTGTGATTTTCAGTGTTTTCATGGGCAACGTGTACGGACCAGAACGAATACATTCACATTGATTTGCTTGGAGAAGAGCCACCCAATTGATTGAATTGTGTGTTTCCTGCGAGTCCTCCCCTCTTGGATATGCATAGGGTCCGATTAGAGGGGCCGAAGGCCGTCTTTTCTCCTGAAATGAAGTCTGAGGGCTGCTAAATTGGAAGAGTTTTGCACGGGTTGGTGCGAACGGGACCCCAAGAAACAGAGACCTCAGCCTGGTGGCTAATTGGGTGCCAAAGAGATCGTTCCAGGCATCAACGGCAGACACTTCTTTCATGGCTGCATCCGCCTCCAACGCGTTCTTCAAAGCGGCGCTTTGAATTGTCTAATGTACCCATTATCATACATACGATCTGGTTTGCGATCGGTGTGCTATCGCAGTCGCCTGTCTGCTTTCTACTTGTGCATCTGCCAGCCAGCGTCCGGCGAGTCCCGAATTGTCTCCCGGTCCGAGACGTGGAGGCATTTTTTACAAAAAGTTTTGGAAAGAGTCAATTGTGCAAACAGCTCCCGATGGCAACTGGTAGGAGCCAAAATGCTTCGGGAGGGTAAACGCTCCTCGGGGCCATCCGGCGTCTCTGGAGACGCTCGGAGTCAGATGACATTCTCGGGAATGAACGGCGTTTCCCAGAGTACATTAGTCAGCATCATTCCGAGGAAACCCTCAATGGATGATGTTCATAAAGCAGGCCGGTCCTCTGGACGACCTCGATTTGTCTTCACAGCCCCGATCACTGTCCCAGTGGGACACGCTCCCGTCCTTCAGTCTTTGTGAGATCCAATCTAACGCTCCGTTCGAACTGGCGCCGCGACGCCATCGGACCAAAAAAGGGTCTACAAATGGATCCAGTTGGCAGACGCGACAAAGGTTGGATGAAAAATGATCATTACAAATTATTATCCGTCTCATAGATAAAATGATGAACCCTTCGGCGATTTGTAAAGGCCGTGGCAGGTTCGAGGGAGAGAAAATCCGCGTCCTTGCTCGCTTCGCCCTGCCAGGCGACGCCGTTTAGCCGCCCCGTCGCAATCCGACGGCTCTTCTCAGCTCAAGGTGCATTCTGAGAAGAGGAAACATACAAGTACCAGTTCTGGTGGTCAGCGCCCAGCGGGGGGTCGGGGGGGGGGACTGTACAACTGATCCGCATGGACAGGGCCAAACAATTTGGAAGCGTCTGGACCGAGGGCGGCTGTCTCTCTCTCTCTCTCTCTCTCTCTCTCCGGTGGTGTTATTTCTCTGCAGGTGATGCTCCCTCTCATTCCTCCACTCCGCCTCAATCCCCTTCTCCCGCGCCCACCTCGCTCAGATGTGCCTCTTCATGTGTAGCGCCAAGTGATCCGACCGCGAGAAACACCTGCAACCAAAGAGAGGCAAACAGAGGAGAACAGCCAGTTAGGTGGTTACAAATGGAGGGGGGGGGGGGGGCAGTTTGTTCTGTCATTTGAGGCTAAATGTTGCTGGTAGCTAGCGAGCGCTGAGCCTGTAATGCACACGCTACTATTATATGTGTAACTAATTCATAATCAGCATTTTCAGCAGCACTCCTAATGACTGCATCAACAACTAGAGCCCCCCAGAAGAATGTGGTGAAACAGCGAAGGGGCCGGGTGGGGGGGGGGGGCAAAGCATGCAAAACATGGGCTGCAGAACGTCTGCTGCGTTCGATGGATCGAAGCCTCTCTTCTCTCTTGCACTGGCCTATTTTTCTCCTATGACTGCTTTAAAAAAAATAAAGGTCTGATCATTTCAACCTGGTCGAATTGGCATAAAGTTTGCCTTCAAATGGTGCTGTGGTAATTCGCTGTGTGCCTAAAGATGCAGCCATCGCAGGAGATCAACAGTATTTCTGTTGATTTTCCTCGCTGAACAAATACTACGGCTCCTTTCCCCAGACGAGGGCTTTCTTTCAAAAGGCAAGTGTTGCTTTCTTTTGGGTAATTGGGAGCTGAGGGTTCTGGTGATTAGTGCGTAAAGGCGTGTTTGAGATGGAGACTTGTTTCGAGAGTTTACTAAAGTGATTTCGTTTAATGGTGTTTGGGAGAAAAAAATAAAATAAATTGCTGCCAAAATTGCTGCAGGAAATGAAGGTGTACAGAGTGTGCTGCTTGTTTGTGTCAAAATAAAAATGAACTACAATTTGCTTAATTAGTGTTAGCTTTACATATACCTTCATTTGGTAATCATTCCTCAAATAAAATAACTAATAGTAACCAGTAAAAACATGCCTTAATCCTAAACATTTACTTCTGAAACTCTTTCTATGTTCGGCTGTCTGCGACGTCGAGAGGAATCAGGGTTTGGCCAAGAGGGGGAGTTACACTGTGATGAGCCACCAGTCATCTGTCTTACTGTCACACCTGCATGTGTGTCCCCGTGTGACGAACACATGTGACTCGCTGTGTCTGTGTGTGTGTGTGTGTGTGTGTGTGCGTGCGCGCAGAGAGGCAGATGGTAAAGTATGAGTCACGACTCGGGGGCACGACACCAGCTGGCACACCGTGGGTCTGTCCCCCCTCCCCTTCCCCTCATCCTCCTCCATCTTCCACCCGTCTTCTCTGTCTCCCTGTTTTCCCTCTTTCTTCGTCTCAGCGGGGGGGGGGGGGTCTGTGTGTGTGTGTCTGTGTGTGTGTGTTTTGGGCTGGAGGGGTCGGGCGCCTTGTGACACATGACAGAGGTGGGCCTGATTTAGGATTGTGCCTCCGGGGTGGTGGAGGTGGTGCTGGGAGGGGAGGTGTGAAATCGTGGGTGAGGAGGGAGAGGTACTGTATTTACTGTCCGTCCAGCTGAGGCTTGATTAAGTTGCTCTGCTGCCACTGACACGCACACATGCACAGATGACTCACACTCTCACGCACACAATAGAGCGCTTTCTTTTTGTCCTCTCGTAATGAACCTATACATGATTCAAGGGGTCAAATGTTCAATAAAAAGGCTGCAAACACATATTGTACATTGCTGAGGCTTATTTTCTGATCGGTCATGTTGCAGTTTGCTTTCTGCTTAACGAAAACCTAAATTGTGTTGAATATAATTGCTTTTATGTGTCTATTTCTGCGTCTTTTCCACACAAATAAGAAACACTAGTGTTTAATTCATCAAATGCGTGAACACAGACGTAGCATACTAATAGTTCGTCACATTAAAGATGTCCACCCGCATCTTCACCCGGCGTTCCTTCCCTTCAACACTGAGCTGCCTCCCCTCGTCAATATTGCCCAGAGATCCCTGAGGTGTCAGCGAGGGCCGGATCACAGACAGAGGGGCGTAATTAAAAGAGGGGTAAGGATTTTTGTGTCTGAATCAAGCTGATCTTTTCATAATGGCCGTTGAATGTTTGATGATTTTGCCACCGGAGCCTCGCAAATTAACATTTTGCTGTGGTTCATAATTAAACAGGAGCCCGGGGTGACTAATTGGGACGCCAGATCTGCGCCAGATCAGCACCTCAAAGTGACCGAGCCGTGCACTTTTACGCCTCCCTTGTAAAGGCCATGGACAGGAAGGGGCACGGGACCGTTACTCTGGCTCATGGGGGGCTTTGGAAACTCCCCAAATTTACTGTAAATATTAGTGGTTTATGGATCGTCCCAGTTTACCAATGTTAAATAAAATCTGTGTGTCAACACAGAAAAGTTGCTAATTATTGCTGTTGACGGATGTATAATGCATAAACTAATATTAGTGTAAATAAATGTATCATGTAATCAAGGTTTCTAGTTTAGATTTTAATAAATCTCCATCTAACAAATTAGTTTCTAATACGTCCCCTTCAAAAACGAATACTCCGTGCGAGTGATGTGTGGTAATGGGTCCTCCAGACGTTTCACACCTCCGTCCCGGAGCGGACGCAGCCCCCGAATCAAGGCCACGCAGCAGAAGCACCATCAACATGCCTAATGCGGGCATCCAGCAGAATAAGCAACCTTCACACTCCCATCGATGTGTTGCCGGGGCGCACACATTAGTAATCCTGCCAGCACACTTTGAAACTGGGTCAGTACCAAACACATTTGGGTGTGTTAGCAGCATCTTGTAGCGACCGCTTTGCTGAACCAAACTGTGTACAAAACACAACAGGCAAAACAACCCGCTCTGCGAGTGGAAGAACTTGGAATGAAACTTGGAAAATGGTTTAATTTTTTCTTTTTTTTTAAAAAGACCCACACAAGCGACAGAAGAGGAAGAGTTGTGTTTTGACAGACCTGTCACAGTGGTTGCACTTGAAAGGCTTGGCGCCGGTGTGTTTGCGGTAGTGCCTCGTCAGCTCGTCGCTCCGGGCGAATCGCCACTCGCAGCCCTCCCACGAGCACTTGTACGGCTTCTCACCTGGGGGAGCCAGGGGAAGAAAGAAAAAAAACACCAACACATAAGCACCTGTTTTTTCATCGCTCATCCACCCATCACACGCTTATTTGTCAGGCGTAAAAAAAAGAAACCTGTGTGGCGCTGTTCCGTACGGAGGGGATGCTTGATACGTTCTGCTTATCAGAGATGCCTGTTAGGATAATCTCCGGTATACCTTTGACATCCCACGTCCCCCCCCCCCCCCCGTTTTTTTTGGAGGCGCCGAAAGGAGAGCAAGGCGATATTTAAATGTGAGCCCGGAGAAGCTCCCACTGGTCTCCGGTCTTGCTGAACACGCAGAAGAGGAGTAGAGGGTCGAGAGAAGTGGAGCGGTGGGGGGCGAGGGGGGGTGAGAAGAGGAGGTGAGATGAGAACAGGAGGGGAAAAGTGGAGTAGGAGAGAAGTGCTGCAGAAGTGGATTAAAGCAGGAGAGGGTGAAGACACACCAGCAGGGGAGGGCGGGGGGCTGTGGGGTCGATAATTAGGCCAGTCACGCGCCGTTTTAGCACAGGAACCCCCCAAAAACCCGCCAGCTGCCGTCCACCTTCCCGAAGACGCCTCCTGCATCGGTCGCATCCCATCTGCGCGCTGACCGGCTCTGCTCGAGTGGCTCCGGCACAAAAACAGGCTCCATTTGTTGAATGTGATTATTGAAAAAGGGGGACACAATCAATGGAGCAACTGCTGTCGCGGAGGCCGTCCAGATTGAGACGAGCGAGAGTGAAATTCGCCGGCTCTGCGCTCAGATTTGTTCCGTGGGGGCAGAAGGTGAAAAATCAATAATGTATACTGTATGAATGGATTCCAATTTCATGGCAAATTTGTCCTAAAATGCAGCGCTGAGCGTGTGACCCGCCGGGGCCCTTTCTATCAGAGCCGCTCAGCGAGCGGCCTGTTAACAGGAATCCCGTGCGGGCCGACGGCGACAAACAGAGGTGCATTAGGTGGCAGCCATGATGAGGTGCTAAATGAACACGTGAGAAAAGGATGACCTCCACAAAAGGCGATCTGTAAATCTTGAAAAGACAGCGATGAATACAAATTGGTAACACTTGATCCATTTATCTCGACTACATAATTTGTTTGTAATAATGACATAAATTGGGTGTATGAAATCTTTTTTTTTTCTTTGAAGGTAAATGTCTTTATGGCAGGCAAACACTGCTTAGTAAAGTCATCTCTGTTGTCGAATGTGAGTGCTTTTGGTTTGAAGCAACAGAAAATAGCCCTGTCCCTTTAGCCTTCCCTGAATTCCCCAAAACACCCAGAGCAGCAGGTCTGGGCTATCCCACTCCGGCCAATGAAATTCCCGTGAGGCAGGGAAGCCTGAATCTGTTGCTTAGCAACGGGAGCGAGGGGGCGGGGAGTGTGTGTGTGCGTGTGGGGGGTGTATACATTGAAAGCATGAGGAGGCAGTAGTCAGTGCAGCTGGCTGGATCTGGCAACGGCACGGCGCCATGCCACCGGCCAATTACCGAGCACGCTGGCAGAGCACGGAGGGCAGTTGCCTAGCAACGATAGCCCGTGGAGCTGCACGGGGCAAGATGGGGGGGGGGCTGGTGACGGTGGGGGGTGGAGGCGGTGGTGGTGGCGGTGGTGGTAGTAGTAGTGGTGGTGGTGGTGCAGGAAGAGGAGAGGGGGGGCAGGGGGTACCATGAGACCGAAGCCTGCAGCGGTACATAAGCACTCAGCTACCGACTCCTCCAACGATACGCTGCACCCCCCGTTGCCTAGCAACAGAGCAACCCCCTCCTCTCTCCTCTCCCTTAAGATGCCCTCCTACAAACAGGCAAGTATTCAGGTGCACACTCAAAACACACGCACAATACAAACTGGACAGGGAAGGCTACTTTTTAATGTTTCTTAAAGTTTGACAACTCAGCACTTAATCTGATTATGCTCTGTTACTTTGTGATGCCTTTAAAACAAAGAGATTATGAAGCTTTAAGTAGATAATTTCTTCAGAATCTGGATTGTGGACAGTGCTGTTGTTGAAACCCATTACTTATTCTGCCGTATTTGATAAACCCCCCATTAGCTGACACCTTTCAATCATTTTAGGCAAGATTATTGCAAAATCCAAATGCTTTTCTCCGTTTTCTATTTTTTAGTAATCAAATAAGTATTCACATATTTCTTGTAATCTAATAACTGGGTGTTTCCTAAATCACTGTAATCCCATTATGTGTAATCTGTTACTTCCGAATGCTCTCTCCCTCGCTCGCTCTCTCTCACAAACACACACACGTGCACACACACACACACACACGTGCACACACACACACACACACACACACTCCAGCCTCTCAGGTGCCAGTGTTGAAGTTAATTGCATTCCTTCCATTAGCTGGAGCGGAGGCAGGCCATCCGGGTCTCAGAGGTCATTAGAGAGCCTCCACAAGGCTCCCGCTGGCCACCGTAGAACTACAGCATCGGAGACAAGGGAGAGGGGGGAGCGGGGGAGAGCGGGGGGGGAGAAGGCTGGTAGATCGGCAGACTGATGCAGGAATAACGCATGTCGGGGAGAGACATGAGGATGATGGAGCTGATCAACTGTTACCATCAACTTTGTAACAATAAACATAGTTGATTATTACACTGAATGCCATGAATTTGAATGAGGCTCGATGAGGTCGAGGACCCCATTAAGAGCATACAGCTTCTATATAAAAGGTACTTAAACCTTTTTTTTCTTCTTGATTTGAACAAGAGAATCTGACATTATTTATGCAGCTATGTGGAAAACAGGACATTATATTGCGGTATGATGTTTTTCCTCTAATCATTGGCCTTGGTTCAAACACAAAGAGAGAGCGAGAGAGGCCAAAGAGCAAAGCACTATAATAAGAACGTGGGCAAGGAGCGCACAAGGATGTCACATGGAGACTGCTTTAAGGAGAGAACTAGAGAGAGAGAGAGAGAGGGAGAGAGGGAGAATAGAGGAAGAGCCCAACAGGCCTCGTCTTTTACGCGTTCCCTCACCCTTCCCAAAATCTAATTGTACCATTCCTTATCTGCCATAAGCCTATTCACAAAAACGCTCTACAGGGCACCGTCATTTCAACTCAGCCAGTCTAATTCCAGATTAAATCGTCGCCTTTTCTCCGTCGGTAATTTATGGAAATAACAACTAAGAAAAAGGGGATTTGAGTAATGACATCTTTAAACTTGTCAGGATAATGGCTCAGTGAATGGGGGAGCCCGTGGCACCGCTGTCTCTGTCTGAAGAGGGTCGCTCCACTGTACCTCCCCCGTTCCTGTCTCCTGTCTTCATCGACTCTTTGTTTCTCCCGGCGTCGCTATCTGCTCCTCCTCGTCTGCCTTTTCCTCCGCTTCTGTGTTTTCTCTGAGTCACCGAACGTCGACATTTTACCCCGTCATCCTTCTGCTCTCCAGCTCGGGAATAACGAGGCAGATGTTCGGGTGGATGCTTTCGACCGAAGCACCTGAAGGGACGCGGATAAGCTGGCGCCGCTGCCATATGCAATATTACCTCATTAAATCAATATCTGGGTTTGGGGTTAAAATGAGCACATGAACTGGATATACTTCGCAATGAAGAGTCACAATCACAGACGCCACACACTGGGGAGGTCAAAGGTCGCGTGCCTTGGCAAGAGGGGCAAGAGAGCGAGAGCTTGTAAACAAGCCGCGCGCGGCTTCTAAATTGGACCACTTTAGTGATCCGTCAACCTTTAAGCTTATATGGAGTCGGATGGTGGGGAGAAAGAAAGTGGAAGTGTCCCTGTAACCTCATCCGGCGTGATGGACGCGCTGCTGTCCCTCCGCGGGTTAAAGCGCGTCGGAAGCGGCTACGCTTTAGCATCCGGATGGCAGTCCACCGTACATTTCACGTGCCATCCCGAGCATATGCCTGTGAAATGTCATGTTCATCTCATCGCAGCCCGGAACGCCTCCATTTAGAGGACGCAGCCATCGGAGCCCAATTAAATACGCCAGACTCCCGTCGTCCTCGCTCAAACAAACACCTCTGATTTGTTGGGTGTGATCGAGACCTGAGGGCGCGCGAGCGCTGAACCCAAAGCCTGCTAATTAATGACGGGAAACACAGACGCCAAACGACTATTATTACTTCTCTCAACACCCGCCCGGTTAGATAATATCACGCGTTTCCCATTAGCCACGTTCTCTTGGCGTCAGAATGAGCCCGTTACTTCTGGCGTGATATCGGGGGCCGAGCCCCCGCTGACCTAGACTTACAGTACGGAACGCACAGAGGACGGGGAGGGCCTGAAATAAACCGGGGAGACGGCAGCCTATCCAGGTCAATCCATCCATCACCGCGCAGTTACTCAGACGGAGGACAGCTCACCGACAGGGGTCTGAGTGGTTTGGGATTGAGATGGAAGAGCGGGAGAGTTATGGCTCCTGAGCCCTCCCCCTTTGCTTCTTGAGAAGAACCTTGACTGGGGGGGGACCCGTCCGAGTTGACACAGACTCGCAGAGCCGGGTTGTCTTCAATCGTCTCTTTTTTCACACGGGGATGTTTTAATACAGTAACGCGTGGATAAACCTGTATATGATTAGTCAGCTGTTGGCCCGGAAGAAAGAATTAATGAATGTGGTGCTCACATAGATGCAGGTAGATTTCTCTCCAAAGGCCGAACCGATTAAGCACGTAGTGTTCGTGTGTGATTGAGGGGCTGAGAAAGAAGAACGCTTTCTCCGTCAGCTCCTATCTTCAGACGGAGAGTTTCACCGGTGCACTTACTGATATTATGTGGAGAAATGCATCAATTTGTGCTCGTGTTCACAAACTGCACACAGATTGAATCACCCTGTACACTTCTTACCTATATATATAAACCTTATATAAGATCATGCACATTAACACATTATGTGAGTGTGAACTGTGTGGGAAACTGCAAACATTTTCTCGAACCATTCTTGAAGTTAATGAGTATTACACAACGAATTGTGCCTTTAACTCCCATGTGACTATAAAAAAAAAGTGTTATTGAGCAAGCTCTCACTCAAAAAATAACCCCACAATATTCCCCCACAATATTCCATCCCCCGCCGCTGCCTTTCTTGCAGCCGTAGCACAGTGCCTTACGAGCGACGCTCACCTGTGTGCGTCCTCTGGTGGGCCTTCAGGTGGGAGCTCTTGGTGTACACCTTCCTGCAGCCGTTGAACTGACAACGGTGGATCCTCTTCTTGTTCTCCGGCAGCTCCCCCGCCCCGCCCACGCACGCCGCCCCCTCCTCCTCGTCGTTCATCCGGACGGGGAGTGCGTGCGCCGCCACCAGCCGCGCCGCGCCCAGCCCCACCTTCCTGGCCACCAGCTTCAGGGTGAGCGTGCCGTCCGGCGAGGCCGTCAGCGTCTGGTTGGATTTGACCAGGTGGCGGCCCAGCTCTGGCGACGACGGGGGCGTCAGGGAGGTGACGGCGCTCAGCCGGGCCTGGTGGGCCCCTTCCATGCCTTCTGCGTTTTCCAGGGCCTGGCCCTTGAGTTTGAGGTCTCTTTTCATTGCACCGGCGGAGGGGAAGTGCTTCCGCGTCGGGCAGAGGACGACTGGAGGCGGGCTCGAGGGCTCCGGCAGGACGGGCAGGCTGAGCAGCAGGCTGGGCAGCAGGGTGTCCGCCAGCTCCTCCTCGCCGTCCTCCTTCAAGTAGGCCGGAGTCAGGAGGCCGTCCAGGTCTTGGTCGAAGAGCTCCGACAGACGCTTGGGCTCCGTCTGCAAATAGCGCTCCAGTTCTAAGCAGGTCTGCGGGAGAGAAAAGGGGGAGGAGAGACACACTTTAGACTCCGGGTTCACACTCTCGGGCATCGGCTCGGAAAAAAATGACCCCTCCCTCGACTCTCACAAATCCCACCTGACAGGTTTCAAACAGCCATCAGATCCTCGGATGTGCAGAGGCGGAAAAACCTGCACGGTGCCACGCAGACAGGCAACCTGGCAGCTCTGCCAGCTGTCACGTGGCGCACACGCACTGAGAGCCACCAAGACAGCCGGGATTACCTGGCAGCTCCGGCTCGACGGCTGATTACACACTGATTGATTGCGACCGACCGCAGCGCGGAAAAACCAAAGCGAGCCGCCACGGGTAGCAGGAGGAGAAGTCCTAAACTGAACAGAACTCCTATCAAACAACATTTTATGGAGCTCTGACAAGCCGGCTTCCGCTGAGCCAAGATAGGAAGATTTATTCAGCTGTAGTTATGGTCTGCTTCATCCCTATTACGCCTCTCCCCTCGGAGGGCAAATAAAAAGGCTACAACCCCCACACCCCACCCCGATTTTGTGTGAACTGGCGTCTAGAGAAGTCTATTACTTCACAACAAGCTGGCGAGGTTTCTCGAAGAGGAGAGGCGGCGAGGGAAAGGAGGCGCTCCGTGTCCAAGGATGAAGCTATTACGGCTGAACGGGCGGCGGCGGTTTGATCCCAGCGATCGTTGTGTTTCTCTTGTAGCCACTAACGCGTTTTGACAGCTGAGAAGGAGGCTAGCGGCTCCGCTGGGCGCGCGCTACCTCGCCACTTCATTTGTGTAAATAGGCGCTGACAGACGGAGGAGCTCGTTCCATTATCAGGGATCGGGTTGTACAGACTGAACACATCAGAGACATTTACAATCCTACACACACACACGCGCGCACACACACACACATTGCTCGTTTGCACCTTCTAAGAATAAACCCACCACTTTTTTGGAGGGGGGCGTCTGTTGCTAAGGGAGTGAAATCTCTCCTCTTAGTCGCCTTCTTCAAACAAGAACGTTTTGGGGACTTTTCTTTATTTACTGTAGTATTTGTATTATTAAATTATAAATTTGTATTATTTATGGTATTACAAATTTCAAAATAAAAAAAATATTTTTTTTGGGGGGGTTGTTTTGTTCTGTGAGGGATTTAAAAAAAACTTGTTTCTTCAATGGCCAAGGCCAATGAACTGTGAATGAAATGTTTTTTTTTTTCTTTGCTGCCTTTCAATGAGCAGCTAAAAATCGGAAGGGCTGCGACACAATGAAGGGAATAGCATGCACATATAAAAAGTAAAACACAACCATTTCAACCCCTCCATCTGCCCACATCGCTCCCCTCCTCACTCGTCCTTCTCCTCCAGCCTAACCCCCTATCAGTTCCCCAAATCATCCTTTTCTCTCTCCCTTTTCTTCTCATTGTCGTCTCCTCCTCTCCCAAGGTGAGGACTAATTATCCGCTAAAAGCGCCTAGTTGAAGGGGACTTAATTCAGCAAAATGCTGAGAACCGCAGACCAAGGTGAGTGTGTGTGTTTGAGTTACAGATAGTTCAAGGGAGCGGAAAAGAGGATAGAAACGGATAAGTGGGAGGAAGGTGGGGGTGTGGGGGGCTGTGGATGGGGAAGGAGAAGAGGGAGATGGAGGAGGAGGAGAGTGATGGAGGGACAAGGTGAAGGAGGCAGGAGCTGGAGAGAGGAGGCTCGGTTGGAACAGCAACGGAGGGGGGGGTGAATCCTTTTTGTAAGTGTGACATTTGGCATAACGGGATCCTGTGGCAGGGCGAGCCGCGGCCCTCGCGCGCAGGAAGACGGCTTGTGCTCGCCGATCGTGAGGTCGCGAGCCGAGGATGCATGCAGAGGGGCATGTTCGACACGGTAAGAGTTGTAAAATGCGACCGCAGGTGAGGGGGGAGGTGTGGGGTGGATTTTCTTTCCATCCAACCGCCCCCCCCCCTCCCCACACTGGTCTTTTCTCCCATCACTCCGTCAAGGCACCTCCTCCCCCTCCCCGAGGGGGTGACATTAACATCGCGAGAGAGAAGGTCATGCAGTTGATCAGCGGTTCCTGCGCGTGCAATGTGGGTGCGCACACTCAATGTGGCTGCATGTGATTACGCCAGTTTGTGCGCCTGTGATTTTGCAAGCACACGGGTATCTGTGAGTGGCATAATTATGAGTAATAATTAAGCGGCTCTTGTATGTGTGTGTGTGTGTGTGTGTATGAACACCTACGCGCGGGCCTAAACTCTCTCGACTGATCCCGTGGCATAAAGTGCTTGCACTTGTGTGTGTGTGTGTGTGTGTCTGTCTGAGTGTGTGTAGAAAAGGGAGCAACCACCAATGGGCCAACGCCGACCTGCAGAGCCAACATCAGCTGGCTCCGCATAAAGCCAGCGTCCATTTCCCCAAAAGCTTTTGGGATGATGCCTTCATGTGAGCCAGGATAAGCTGAGTGCCTCAGATGGATGCTCCAGCAGCCCCACCTCCACCTCCAAACCGCCTCGGAGGGGGGACTCGGAACTCTCTATATACGGCCAACGGGCTAAACCGTACACAATACAGATGCAGCAGCTAAATGCAACAGAGTCAGTGCTAATAACATCATGTATGACTTTCCCGGCCATGAAGTTAACGGAGCCCTGCTGTCTGCTCTAGCTGACATCCAAAAGGCTTGTCACCCGCAGAATTGGAAATATATAAATGTGTCTTTACAACCTGAAATGATTACATGATTATTAAAAAAGTTAATTTACTCTAAACTTATGTCATTTTCCAAGAAAGGTTGATGAGTCGAGCAGAGCAGCCTTTAATTGCTCAGCTAATTACCGTGATGAGTTTCAGCTGTGGCTTCAGCGGCTGTCAGCTCTCACGTCAAAGAAACGCCGGCGCTTTGAGTCGTTTATATCTTATATAACTGTTCTTACTGATTGGGTCACTACACAGTTTTACTTGAAGATGAAAGAACATTTCAACCAAAATGCTAGAAGGCAGAAGTGACCCGTCTTATGATGCACACACACACACAAACAGACACACACACTGAGCCACACTTGCAGCACACACCTGGCGTTAGCGAGGCTTAAAATACAGCAGGTGTAACAAATACTTGCTGATCACAAGACACGCCTCTCGCAAGTCGAGCAGGCTGAGAGCTGTGAACCTGTCCTGCTACACCAGCGTTTTCTTCTCATCGTGAGCTTTAAAAAAAAAGTAGCTCTCTCTCTCTGTCTCCTCACCCTCTCCTCCCCTCGTCCACGGGGCCCTTGGCCTGGCAGCTGATCCTCTTTCTCTCTCCGCCCTTCACATTTGGCCCGCGCCGCCTGCCATCACCATCAAAGAGCGGGCTGCCTCCCAACTGTTAGCACCCTGCTAGGCCGCTAATAAAAAGCCTGGGTTATAAATATGAACAGAAGAGCATGAATAATGCCCCAAAGGAAGCCCCAAAACGCCACTAAAAAGAGAAACGTAATGGGGTGGATACGGCTCATTAATTTTAGGATAATCATGTTCGTTTTTTACTGATGCCGCGATAGAGACGAGGTGCTGTGAATAATAATATGCAGTGCTGATGCGAGCTGGGTTTGAAGGGGCAGGGGTACGAGGGGGGAGCTGGAGGGGTGATGCTGCATATTGTCCCATTATTTGAAAGACCCCCGATCCTCTTCAGACTTTATCATTCTGAGAATACGTAGATATTTATTTTTAGCTCAAAGTTGAGGCGAGGTGTCCCCCCCCCGTTTGCAAACAAGCGAAGCTGAGCCTGCTGGGGTCGACTGCTGGCTCCCGCGCCTCACGTTTCCTGCACACGCGTGTAAGCATGTAAGTGGTGGATCCCAGACATGATATTGTAAAGACTTGATTCAGGCCTGTTTGCATCTGGTCGGTGTTTGATTAGCCGTTTTAAAAGTGGGCAACATGGCCGCCGATGAATTAACGCCGGCTTCCCCGCAGCTTTGCTTGTCTTCTTTTGTTGACTTTGGCGTGTGTTACTTTGATTTATTTCTCATTGCTCAAAGAAAGGAGGAGGTCCTCGGTCGGATTCACAGGGTGTGAAGACACTACGGCTGCTGTGATTAAAATCCCTCTTAGATACAAAGGTGTTTCACCTTTCAGGTGACGCTGCACCACAATCACATTAACGGGAATTTGCCGCCTGCAACAAACCGGGCAACCAAATAGCCTCGTCCCATTTTTTTCTCACTATTTTCATTTTTCACAGCTGTTTTTTTTTTGTTTTGCAGGGGGCCCGTGTCTTTCATTGATCATGCCGGGGCCAAGCCATCACTTTGAGGTGACAGCTAAATGACAGGTAGCCCGAGGCGCCGGCCATCTCGCCATCAGCCTTTGTGTGTTTGCGTCGCGGTGCCTTAATCGATACGAAATGATACGGCGCAGGAGCTCATCAGCGGGGCCCGTCGCAGCTGACAGAGACGGTAATCTATAGCCTCACTGAGCAATACTTACACGGAACCCCCCCCCCCCCCAGGCACCCACACAAGATCTTAGAAAAGCAGCCCCCTCCCTGCTAAGCCGGCCTTCGGGGCCTTTTGCTCCTCTCTCGTGCGCTCGCCGAAAAGCCCCCGTGGGTTTCACACACCTCGGAGAGCAGCATGGCGTCACTCGGCGGATCCCTGCCGAGCGGGGAACCTGCCTGCGGGGGCCAGCGGGGTTCGGGAGGGGAGGCAGTGAGATAATGCTACATTTTCAGCGACGCCGATCTAAATGACCGAGCGCCCTCGCTTCACCCGGTTATTCTCAGCGGGGACCACGGCGCGGGGGGAGGGGGCACGCAGTGTTTGGCCGGAGGGATCTTGCATCAACGAGAGCCAAAGGAGAGACGGAGGGAGCAGAGACACAAAGGGACAGAGCTTGAGGGCGGGGGGCACAGCTAATTTATCTGCGAGACAGACAGGTTAAAGAAGGGACGGCGGGGCTGAAGGGTGAAGCTGCGGTTTCTCCTACAGGTTTATAAGCAAAAAGCTACTTTACAGATTAAAGGGGGGGGGT